CTCAAACAACTTTTGCAGCCTCAACCTCCCATGCCAAGGGAAGAGGAGGAAGGGGGAAAAAGAGCAAGGTTTCCTTGGTGATGAGTTAGTCACAGTATTTCTCCGGCATCTATTGTTTGCCAGGCTCTGAGCTGAGTGCTGGGGACACAGGGTAACCAGCCCCAGCCCCACCTTCCAGGGCTCCCCTGGGGGTGGGGGACGAAAGTGACTTTCATACAGATTGTATGCACAGAGCAGAAACAGGAGAGACAGAGGGACCCACAGGAGGTCAGAGGAGTGAAAGGAGCCGTCCCATGGGAGTATCCGGGCTTCATGGAGGGGGTGGCTCTTGAGGTGCCCCTTGGAGGATGGGTAGGCTTGGGCAGGTGCTGAGGCAGGGAGAGGGCATCACCAAGTAAGGTACAGAAGTGAGGAGGCTCCTGGTCTCAAGGCCAAGATGCCTACAGCTGACTGGAGAGGATGAGGGAGGGGAGCAGCTGGGATAGGGGCCCGAGGCTGGCCTTTATCCCTCAGGAGGAAATGGAGAGGGTACAGGAGGCAGAGCTGTTGCCAGGCTTGGTGGCCTTACCATGGCGCTATTTTGTTTAACAACACAGCAAGAGCTTGTGTGGGTGGAGCCTGGGCATTCGGGTTCTCTGTTATCGACTTCTTTTAGTCTCCTTAAGAAGGAGAGCTCTCCTGTTGCCCAAATGCCTCCCTTTCCCCACCGAGGGCCCAGTGCAGCTGGGGGCTCTTCCCAGGTCCTGCTGATGCAGAGGAGATCTGGCTCCTGGCAACTGCTTGCTAGCTCTTCCAGGCCCTGGTGTCTCTGTGCCTCCAGGATCTGCTGGGCTGTCACTCCTGAGTCATCCAGACACGAGAGCTACAGACCTTCCCCACCCTCCCTAGCCCCCCCCAGGAATCTCCTCTTGGTCCTTCCCAGAGATGGAGTTCTCACCAGCTTCTCTCCTCTCTGGACTCAGATCAGAGCCTGGAATGACTGTACTCCTCCCCAACTGAGGGTTATATGGCCGGTGAACCATGTGGCGATTTGGCTTAGAGAAGAGAACAGCCAAGGGTGGCCTGGAAGGGAGGCTGGTGACAGGCTTTTAAATGCTTATGACAATCCTACGGGGCAGGCATGATTAATTCTGCCTAAGAGATGAGGAAACTGAGACTCCAGCCTGGGGAAAATAGACTCGCCCGTCGTTCTGTCTGGCTTTGAAAGCCCCTGCTGCTGTGGGCAGGTTGAGCCATGTAGCTCAAAAGGATGCTGACACAGTTGCTGGCGAGCAGGGCTGTGCTGGGGGCCCTGCGAGCAGATGGGACATAAACCTCTTTGGGAAAACAGATTAAAGTGGCCGTGATGGTGCTTAAAAGCCATGCAGTCCCCTTGCATGTTCATGGAAGCTTATCGATGTGTCCCTCTGCCATTTACAAGCACCCTCCTGGGCGAGGAGGGGCATATCCAGCAGTGAAAAATACCTGTGGGACAAGGCACACCTGGCCCCCTCTCCTGTCTTCTCAGAGCCAAGGCTCCTAAAATAAGCCCCTCTATGCTAAGAAAGAGGGGTCTCCAGCAGTAACTTCAGAGCTGTTTTTTAGCTTCTCCCAGCACCTGTCTCCTCCAGTCAAGTCAGTGGTTTGTCTGCCCTCTCCTGCAGGTTCAGACCCAAATCTAACATTGACTAGCTGTGTGCCTCTGGGAAAGTCACTGTCCCTCTCTGAACCTAAGTCTCACATCAGAAGGTTGTCGTGAGAGCTGGAAGAAATTGTATAGTGAGTCACATGGCATTAAGTGGCACACCAGGCAGCTGCTCACTAAATGCCAGCTTCTGCTCTGATAGGCCTGCCGCCTTAAGGAGCTCCTCCCAGCTCCTCCTCGCCTTTCTCAAAAGTCCCAGGGAACTTGTCTGGGAGATCAACCAGAGTCCACTCCCTGCAATAACTGTTGCAATGCTTGGAGTCCCCTGGGCACTGAGGTGTTCAGTTTGCAGGTGTTCACGCGTGACTGGTGGTAGAGCTGGGCCAGGCAGACCTGCTTCATCTCCTGGCTCCTTAACTCCTTGCTATATGACCTTAGGCAATTGACATAAGCCACTTGTGTCTCACTCCATTTCTGTCTCATTCTCCTCTTCTGTTAAAAGAGGCAAAAGAATGGCTACCTTGCAATGAAATTGTGAGACTTAAGTGAGAAATAACTTGGGTTAAGCACATAGTATGGTGTGGAGTACACAGCAGTCCCTTGGCAGCTGCACTGTGTGTGTTGAGGGGGTCAAGCTGCTCCCCATCAGGCTGAGTTCTCCCAAGAAAGGACTGACTCCTCTTTGTCCTGGGTCTCCCCAAGCACTAAGCAAAGACAGTCCCCATTTTGGAGGGTTCATGCTAATGGGAAAAAAGTACCCCTCCTGCTGCTCACTCCCTAGGCTCCCAGGACATTCATCTTATTAACTTGGTAATTGGTTAACTGTTGGCAAAGGGCTTGCAAGTGTGGCTGGGATAACAGCGGAGCTATTTGGGGATGATTATCATTCCTCTTTTGAGGTTTCCCATTTGAGTTCAGGGGATCAACCATCAACAAGATGGAGATTTCCTATTTCATTCGACAGAGTGATTTAGTATCTGCGATGTGCAAAGCAAATCCTAAGGTGCCTTCTGGGCTGGTATTGGGGCGTCAGGGATACCATAAGATCCTGCCCCCAAAGCATCTCCAGATGCCATCTTGCTCATGCCAGCCCAGCCCCAAGCATGGCCAATTAGCCAACTTTCTAGCTCTGGGAGAGGGAGTCCAGCAACGGGCAAACGGTGGTTTCGTCGGGAGCACTGCCCAGGTTGTCCTGGACCATAGCTCAGCCACAATCAGCTGTCTGATTTGTGAATGAGTTTCTAATTTCTCCTGGCCTCAGTTTTCTTATATAATGGATAATTTGACTAGATGACATTCAAGGTCATCTGTCAATGCTAAAGTACTGTATTTCTAGAACATTCGGTTCTTAGGCGGGTCTAAACTGAATCCCGCTTGCTGGATTTGAAGCCAATGGCAACTACATACTTGGTAATTGGTGAGCAACATGGGGTAAAGGGGTGACCAACCCTAGTTCTCAGCCTAGAGGGCTGCATCAATTAATTAATTATTATTTGTTCTTTTTATTTTTTTGTTATATACATTTTTTGAGGCGGAGTCTCTCTCTGTCACCCAGGCTGGAGTGCAGTGGTGTGATCTTGGCTCACTGCAACCTCTGCCTCCTGGGTTCAAGCAATTCTTGTGCCTCAGCTTCTCAAGTAGCTGGAACTAAAGGCATGTGTCACGATACCTGACTAATCTTTGTATTTTTAGTAGAGATGGGATTTCATCATGTTGGCCAGGCTGGTCTTGAACCCTTGATCTCAGGTGATCCATCCACCTTGGCCTCCCAAAATTCTGGGATTACAGGCAGGAGCCACCGTGCCTGGCCTACATTTTTTTTTTCAGCCTCTTATAGTGAGAGAGCTCTGGTGGGATTGCATTCTAATTAAATATTTAATGGAGAGTATCTGTCTGTTAAAATTACTGTCATCGCCTTGGGGGTGGGTCTCCTTTGTATTCTTATTTGCAGCTTGCCCTCAAATTGCAGGACTAAGCCTTGCTGGAAATCGCCCCCTAAGACCATGTAGGATCTAGGGGTCTGAAAAGATTGTCCAAAGGCCAAAGGAGCATTTCAGGGCTGTGATCCCTTTCATCCTACCCGGCCTCTCAGAGCCTGTTAAAGAACTCCAAGCAGGAACCAGGAAATGGGTTCAGCCCCATGTTTGGAGCTTCTCTTTATTCTGCCTGCTTTCTGAGAGCTGGGGGAAGAAAAGAGTGTGTGCTTTTTCCCTGCGTTAATAAAACCCGAAATGAGTCTTCATTAAGGGCTCCATTAAGAAGCCACTGTTATTCTTGGCACTCATTAGCGTTGCTGCTCACCACTAAATTGCCACACTGGCGTTTTCCCCGGGCTTCGCAGGGCCCCCTCCCGATGCTGGAAAGCTGCTCTTAAGATAGATCTCGACTTGCTGAGTCTCAGAGATGGGGGGACTAGCTCCTGATGAGTTTATCTCATCCATTCCCCTGTCTCCATACACATGCTTTTCCTTCTAGCTCTGCCAGCTTCCAGAGCCTCTCTCACTACACTGTTTGAAGACTTAGTGAACCCTGGGTGGAAGTTCTTCCTCTTGTGAAACTGCCCTGTTTTGCTGTAACGTCAGCCCATGTGGAATCCTTCACTCTGACACCGAAGAATACCTTTCTTTCTAAGAGCACTTTGCTTCCTTTCTCTTACAATGTATTTCCCTAGACAATGTATTTCCCTAGGGTAAGTTTGTCTTTTAGGTTCACGGCCCCCTGTATTTGTGCCCTTTTTAGAGAAGAAGCTCACTTCATACTTGCTCTCGAGGCCCTACGACAGTGTCCAGGCCTTTATCCAGGACCTGTGGCTACCTGACCCCTTCTCCCCAAACAATCAACCAACACATATTAAATTCATACGATGTGGCAAGCACGGGGCCAGGTTTTCTCTCTCATGTAGCCAAAATCATAATCCCAACAAGTGAGATTTTGGCTGCTAACATGTTATAAATGAAAAAAAAACAAAAAACAAAAAACAAAAAACTTTAAAGGAATTTAGGCCCTTGATCACATAGGTGGTAAACAGTGAAGGCAGAGTCAAACCCAGATCTCCTCGCTCCAAGTAGAATGCCTGACCACCTCCCCAGACTGTCCTTGTCTTCTCTCCCCTTCAGATGATGACCAGCGAACATCAGAAAGGACTCTGAGATGCACTGCTAATGGCGAGCTGCTGATGTGACAATAAGTTAGACTAAGGGTTTTGCTCAGATGTTAGAATTCTTATATCCAAGTGTTGTTGTTTCTATCAGTGTAGTTCACTTGGAAAGCTCAATACCCTTTCCAGTCATGTCACACTGTCAAATCACTTTGGGAACACCCCTCTGGAAGTCTGTGGCATGTGGTCTGGAATACTGGCAAATGTTTATTCTTTTAGGGTAAACTGTATCTTTGGAAACACCCCCAAAGGCATTTGGATTCAAGTCTGGAGAATAGGTAAGTCACCAAAACACGTGACTTTGTTTTGAGACGAAAACCTTTTAAAACATTTCTCAGTGACGTGTAGATACTTACTGTACCACAGGTCCCAGTTTTTGTGTTGTAAGAAAGATTTCTCAAGTCTTTCAGAATCTTGCCATGTGCAATAAAGCTTGACTGACCACTTGATGGGGATGGGGTTGGGGAAAGGTGGGCACTGATGATTGAAACCAAGCGACTCATGTTCTCCCATCATGCTTTCACCACTGTTTAGGCTGTGGGGAGCTGGAGATCCTGGCAGATGCTGGCTCTCTGATCCTGGGTCAACTGGGGCATCAAAGGTCACTGATGACCATTTCCCTGCCACAGGCATTGCCAGGTCTGGCTTTACATGGACAACACGATAAATGTAGATGCTCTCTTTTCTGTCCATCACAAGAGTATGGCTTAGCCTTTTATAGAAACATTCCCTGTTCCTGCATTCCCTGAGCTCTTCAGCCATCATAGTCACTTTTTTTTTTTTTGAGATGGAATTTCACTCTTATTGCCCAGGCTGGAGTGCAATGGTGGAATCTTGACTCACTGCAGCCTCCACCTTCTGGGTTCAAGTGATTCTCCTGCCTCAGTCTCCTGAGTAGCTGGGATTACAGGCATGTGCCACCATGCCAGGCTAATTTTGTATTTTTAGTAGAGATGGGGTTTCTCCATGTTGGTCAGGCTGGTCTCAAACTCCCGACCTCAGGTGATCCATCTGGCCTTGGCCTCCCAAAGTGCTGAGATTACAGATGTGCACCACCACACCTGGCCTCATGGTCACTGTTAATTTTCTCTTCCAATGAACTGAGTCTTTTACCTTCTTCAGTATTTTCACTAGTACCAGAGAGGGAAGAGGAAGAAGGCTGGACAATTGCTTCTGGCTTCTGGGTTCTGACTCCTCTTTCTTTAAACTTGGTGATTCTGTGTAACAACTTATTGTCTTTGACGTGACCTCACTTGGACACACTTCTTTGAGATGCTCAAGTGTCCCCTTTTTGTTCTCTGACTTCAGCCATGTTTGACCTTGATTTTCAGGCCTCAGGAATACTCGCTGGGGCGGAATGCAGTGGGAACAGGAAGGTGTGCTGGGCTGGTGTTGAGAAATTGCTGCTATGGATTGAGAGCTGTCAGTCTCTCCTCCTCTGCTTTCAGTGGAAACCCATCTGGTAAAGTTACAGTCATATTAAGCATGAACAACTTAACAGGCACCCCTGGAATTAGGTGCCCTTGTCTCTGTTATTTCAGGCAAATTCAATGGAAACTTGGGCAGTGACTATCCCTGTGAGCTTCAGTTTTGTCATCTGTGAAGTGGGATAATAACACCTATCTTTGGAGGTTGTGAAAATCAAGTGAAATGATTCATACAAAGAGCTTGCTTCATGACTGGTGCACACCAGGTGTTCAAAAATGAATGCCACTATGTATGATGATACGAACGTATTAGTGACTCCAGTTGGCGGCAAGCCGGAGCTAACTAATCTCAGAGGGAGGGGAGGGGAGAGGTGAGGAGTGGGTGGGAGCTGTCCATGGTTCTGCGTCCATTCAGCCAAGAAGCCATTTGACTGAGGAAACATCAGTGATCACCTCTTTTGGGTCAGTACTCTTCTTGGCACCGAATTCTTCAGGCAAAAGGAAAGCGCTTATCTAGGTTCTCAGAGTCTCATTCACAGAGAGGTGAGAGTGTTGGCGAGCATAGGGCTGTCTCATGTACGTGAATCTCTGTGGGCACGTTGTTCTAACACTGTGAGTGTAATCTGTGTGTGTGTGTGTGTGTGTGTGTGTTTGTAGTGAGAAACAGGGGAGGGAGGATGGGAAGAGGCCTTGTGGGTGGCAGCTGAGATGAAGGTGGGTTATTGCTGTAATGCAGCCCACCTGTGTAAACTAGCCAGCATGGAGGTCCCAGCTCAGTCACGAGGAAAGGATGGTCTCCCGGAAACCCCTGAAGAGACTGCAGGGCACACCAACTTCCACCCCATCCCCATCCCAGCCTACCAGAGGAGAGTAAATCTGAGGACAGAGCTGAGCTGTTCCCCTGCTGGGCACTCCAAACTAATTTTCTGGTACATTATACACTTGGCCTTTCGAACAATCAATGGCCTTAAATGCTGTTTGGTTCCTACAGCCAAATCCAAGAGAAATAAGACATAATCCATCTGGCGGATATGGCCAGGGCAGAGAGGGAGGGAGGGAAAGAGGAGTCTAGAGCTGCTGGGACCTCCGCCCTCTGCCTGGCTCAGGAGGGCGGGATGGGGTTGGGGGTAGAAAAGAGAGGGACCTGCCAGCTTTGGAGAGAATTTGCCTTTAAGAGGTATTGATGGCCAGCTAATCACAGGCCTGTTTATCTCAATGCATCCTGGCCACTCCAGCTGTCACTACCCCAGGGGCTGAGCTCTGGTCAGGGAGGGCTGGGATATGGCTCAGGATTCAGGGCTCAGGGCAGTGACCCAGCATTGGTGTGGATGTCCTTGAGACCAGGACAGATGGGTCTCAATCTGAAGTTAGATTTTGGGCAGAATCACCTAGAATCCCTGAGATGGCACCAGGCAGGATATCCTGAGGCCAGGGACTGGTGTTGACTGGTGTTCCAGAGCAGGCTTAGGACTGACTGGAAGAACCCGCCCCGGGCTCAGCAGGACAGCATGACCACTGCTGGCTCTGGTCTGGGGTGAAGCCTGGCAGAGGGCGGGGTGAAGGAGATGCATAGGAAGGAAGGGTCTTAGTTATTCCACAAGAGAGGGAAAGCAGGACCTGCCTCCTTCAGTGCCTCTGCTGCCCACAAGGGTGAGATTCCTGGAAGGACCAACAGCCCAGAGTCTCAGGCTGCCCTGCCGCCACCGAAGTCCAGCTAGAGGACTGCACCCTAGGGACCCCAGGAATGAGATGGGGGAGTCAAGCACCTGGCCCAGGGCCCAGTTTCCCATCTTTTCTAGAAACTGTCACTGTCTAGAGACAGGTAGATAGAGGATGCAGACCTCTGCTGGACCCACGGGGTTGGACCTCTGCTGGACTCAGTGGCAGGACCCTGTGGGAAACTCTCTGGCGGTGGGATAGCTGATGTTTGCAGTGTGAGGTCAATTGTCTCAGCCACCTGGTGAGATGTGGGGGAGGTGGGAAAATGCACCATCCCTAAGGGCTGTTTGGAAGTGGCTTCCCTGGGCAGCATGTGGGCAGAGGGGGCAGCTCTGTTGCCCGCACCTGGCTCTGGAAAATGGGACCTACCCTAATGGCTTGTCTGCATTTTCAAGCACTGCCACCTGCCTGGGTTGCTGCTGGGACCATGCCTGAGGTACAGGCCACACCTCAGCCCCTGCAGGAAGCGGGGGTAGAGGAGGCTGATAAGGGGCCCACCCACACGCCAGGTCAGAGTCAGAGATGGGACAGGGAGCCTGGGGGGGGTGCAGAGGGGACCTCCCTAGAGATGGGCAGTGGGGACTCATGGTGGGCGATGACAGGGAGGAGAGAAGCCAGGCTTGGCATTTGTTTGGGCTGCAGAATCCCCTCCCTTCCGGTTATTCACCACCAGGGCCCTCGATGTCCCCTCTGAGGCCTGGCCCTACCTGGCCCTGCTTACCTAGAGAACTGCTCCTGCTTCCTTGGTCTGGGGACGTGCAGCCTTCAGCTACTGCAGCAGTGACAATGCAGTGGTGGCAGCAGCTCTGTGATAAAGGCGGGGCCTGTGCACCTCTCCAATAAGTAATTATGCTGAGAGTGTGTTCTACGGAGACGCGGGGCTTGTCTGACAAGGCACACTCTTGTTCCTGCCACCGAGACAGCTGGGGAGCTGAGTGGAGAGGCAAGGGGCTGGAGGCGATGGTGCCGTGTGGGGACCAGGCCTGGATAATAGGCTGCTGAACCCAAGGGGCGCTCATCCAGGGGGTGCACCTGCCCCTCGCCAGGTGACAGGAAGGAAAAGGGGTCTAGGTCAGAGGACTTCCCAAACGGGGATGTGTAGAGGAGCTGGGGGATGTTACACACTTATAATCATATCTTGTTTTAACAATTATTATAGTAGCAGAGATACCTAATATTTACATAGTGTTCTGTACTTTTCAGAGCATTTTCATGTTTGATTCTTCCCATAACCCTTTCATGAATGGACAGATCTTTTCTCCCATTTGAACGTTGAAGAAGCCAAGACCTGAGAACATTCAGTGGCTTGACCAAGGTCGCTGGACAGAACTGGATTTCTTGACCTGCTGGTTGGGCTCCTTCCCTAGGTCCAGGTTGACCAATCCCTCTGACACAGCTGAGCCCACACGGCACAAGCCCTATGTGTGACGTTCCCAGGCAGGAGCTGAGAGGAGACGTCTGGAGGGAGGAGGGACCTGGAACCCTGCATTGGGAAGCTTCTGGCAGCAAGACAGCCCATTCCTGCAAGGCAGAGCGAGGCGGCTCCACAGGCGTGGACGAACATGTGTTTTCACGCAGATGCAACGATGTCCTAGGAGGAGCTGCTGACACTGACTGCCATCTGCATGCCGGGGCTGGTGTAAAAGATACTGCATGATAAGCAGCCCATGCCATACTGTGCACATGTGAAGATGGTGCCAGTGAACCCCAAAGATTCTGCCCAGGAGGAACCAAGAGCCCAGAAGAGATGACAGGCACATGCAGCAGGCCTGGGCTAGCCAGGGAGGTTTCCTGATGGAGGCTGTTCTGAGCAGAGTTTGGAGGGGAGAAAAGGACAGGCACCATCAGATAAGAAATGAAGGACCTGGGGCAAAGGGATGAATGGTCTAGGATGGCGAGTGTTTCAGCTTGGGCAAACCCAGGGGTGGACGGAGGCCTGGGTGGCTGGTGGTTGAGATAGAAAGTCAGGCATGAATTTAATATGATTAAAATTAATTAAGGAGCCCCTGAGGATCATTACAAGGGAAGAAACATGATCAAAACAGTGTGACACGAGGATGGGAAAGAGGGACTGGAGACTGGCATGGGGTGAGCACTCTGGTCAGCAGCATTCCATCTGACTTGGAATTTCAGGCCACCATGGAATCTGGAATTTTCTGGCTGGCTGCGGGGCTTTGGGGCCTCCAGTGCCCTCTGCCACCAGCTTGGGCTGGGTTCTGGAAGGTGGGGATGGATGGCTCCCACAGCCCATTGCCCCGACCCATGGCGCCTTCCTCCCCAAGCCGTTTCTTCAACAGGATGCCAGTTCAATGCTGGATTCTGCCTCAGGCTCCAGGAAAAATCTTGCTGCTCTGGGAAGATGCCCTGCTGCTCCTTCTGCTCTGCTCCATGGTGATTGATGGCTGTGGGTAGGTGGGTAAGAGCCTTCCTCCCCCTATCCAGATGGTTGGAGTGGGTTAGGCAGGCTCCCGGAGTAGCCGAAGAGGAATGGATGGGCCAGGGAGGTGCCCAGAGAAGGGAGGAGCTCCCAGGGTGGTTCTGGATGTAGTGGCTGGTTCCAGGGACCAGAAGATGGCTGTAGAGTACTGCACCATTATCTTCATAGTGGGTTCTTCTTCTTCTTCTTTTTTTTGAGACGGAGTTTCACTCTGTCTTCCAGGCTGGAGTGCAATGGCACAATCTTGGCTCACTGCAATCTCTGCCTCCTGGGTTCAAGTGATTCTCTTGCTTCAGCCTCCTGAGTTGCTGGGATTACAGGTGTCTGCCACCATGCCCAGCTAATTTTTGTATTTTTAGTAGAGACAGCGTTATACCATGTTGGTCAGGCTGATCTCGAACTTCTGACCTCAAGGATCTGCCCTTCTTGGCCTCCCAGAGTGCGGGATTATAGGCAGGAGCCACCATACCTGGCCAAGACTGGGTTCTTCTAAGTAGGAAGAAAGTAACATTTTGCTGCCTAATTTCTTGGCCTTTCAAGGCCACCCTGGACTAAGGCCCTGAAGTACTCATTATGGCTGAGCAGGAAGGGCCTGCTATTGTCATAAAGGGGAACCAAGGCCCAGGACAGAAAAAGGTGGTTTATCCTTGAAAGGATGTGCTCTGTGAGTGACACTCCAAAGCGCCTTCACTAACCTATCTGGGTCCCCATGGTGTGAAGTAGGACGGGGTTGCTTCTGTTTCCCTCTGCCAGGCCTTCCTGGGGAATTTTAAAGGGACAAATTGTCTTCCCAGGATAGGGGGTAGAGGGAACCCAGGAGCTATAGGCACCTGTAAACCCAATTTAAAAATCAGTCTAGCCAACCAGCCCCCAAAGGAACCAGAGGGAGCTATAGAGTAACTCAAAAGCAGACACTAATGGAGGAGAAAAGAAATGTAGTTACATATTCATCAGCTTTTAAATATTCATGAGGATTGTAAAGCAGATTAATTTTCATGCCTCATTTCTCCCGAGGTTCCCGCTGTCCATATTTTACCGCAGCAAGAGAAGAAAAGGGAGCGATGGATCATTTGGCCACTGCCCTTACCATCACTTAAGGAGCGGAGTGTGTGAGCGTGTGTGTGAGTGTGTGTGTAAGGGTTGGGGAGCAGGCGCTGTGGTGGCTGTGGAGGTGAAGGTACTAGCTTCCTCAGGGCCAGCTCTACCTCCTGCCAGGCCAGGACATTGTGAGGACAAGGGTGGGGAGGAGGTGGGGGTGTCTGAGGACAAGGGGCATCCTGGAGCGGGCAGACTCTAGAGGCATCAGGTAATTTTGGGCCTCCCAGGGTGAAGAGAAGAAAGAGGACCTTCACCAGAGTCAGCAGGAGCTCCACCTCCACTCCCCTCAATGCACAGTCAAGACCAACAATTGAGTAAGCAGCGGAGAGGGCATGCAAAAGGGTAGAGAGGCGTGGAAGAGACCCAAGGACAAAGGGAAGGGGCAGACAGAAGTCACTGCGAGGAGGAAGTGAGAGGGTGAGGGTTCCGGTTGGAGGGCTGAGAACAAAAGGATAATGGGGAAAAGCAGGGGGGATGGAGGTTAGACGTCGGAAAGGAATTCCAGACCCCAGGGCTATTGGACCTTCTCTCTACAGGGCATGGGAGATATGTTCCCCCAAGCAATACACTAGCGGTGAGGCACAGTTGAGAGGACCTGAAATCAGAAATGTGCCAAGATTGCTTGGGAAACAGCCAACAAGGGTCCTGGCCAGCAGTGGGCAAAGCAGAGTCGGGGGAGACTCCCTGTCAAATGCAAGGTGTCCAGGTGAGACATCCCAAGATTCAAGAAAATGAATTTCTTGTCTAGAGTCATGAATGGGAACCAGAGGAGAGTTCTGTGAAGAGCAGAATACGGACCCCTAGGGGACGGCCACCTGCA